CTCCTTCTAGTCTGATTTCCAGAATGAAGAAGAATCACATTCATTATTGTTGTCTTGATCTTAAAACGTTTTGAACTAATGACTCATCGTACGATTGTTAACGCTTCCATGATCAAATATTCACGTTGCAAGTGTTAAGAGCGGATTTACAAACAAGTTTGAATTTCTGCAAGACTGAGCAGATGAACGTTAAGCTTTTATTTTCTGCCTACTATAATTTATCACGGCAGCAGGGCATGATATGAACTGAAACCACAACGATGCTGAGATATTCGCAAAACGTGGACTCCGGGACAGATCAAACTGCAATTTCCCTTTCCAGCGGCTCGCGCACTATACACTGCACCGCGGAGGCTCTTGCTCTGCGTTTCTCTCAGGTATTTTTTCTAACGCTGCCATCAGCAATCATCCGTCAGCGGGATTGAGCAGAATTGCTTCCTTTTCAAATATACTAAGCTGAAAGCAGATTGGCATAAAAAACAAAAGCAAAATGTAAAAATGCAGAGCGAGGTCTTTTCTTGAAAAATGGTTTGCTACATGAACTCAGGTGTATGAACGTGGAAAGCCCAGAACCGAATTTTTTCTCACAAGCCAAGATGTAATTTGTTTAATGCCACGGTTTAATACAATTCTGTGCTGGAAATACTACTGTGCCAGTTGCTCGGAAACCAATTCATAACTTATGGTGTATCTTTAAAGTGGTGCTCAAAATAAGTTTTATTTGCTTATTTATTCATTATATGATCTATCATCACATATATGACATTGTAGGGATCCCAGAACTTGTTACATTCAATTCAGTTCATCGCATCCATTATCTGCGAACGTCTTAGAATTATTTTGTGTTTGGGCTCAGCAGCTGCTTGAGAATTTTTTCATCTTCGTCACGAAAGTCGTTGAATTCAGATCGAGTCTATGCTCGCTGGATTCCTGAGATAGCTCTGCCGGGGCATTTCTCGGTAGAATTGAGGCAGTTTTCCTCAAACTGGTTTGGTACCAGTTTTATGACCCTGCAGGGATTAGAGGCTTGGTGGGCCTGCTATAAGCTCGAAATGGATATGATGGCTGGCCCGACCAATTGACTAGATCATTATCACTGTCCTACCCAGTTCACGTTTTATTAATTGAAATAAAAGTCATAAGAACGCGCTCACATGTTTTAACGAAAAACAAGTTCATGTATTCTAACTAGTTGAAACTCCTAAGTTATGTGATGGATGTAGTTGTTGAAGGCATTTTGGGCTTCTGCTTAGTTTCTGAAGCGCTCATCACATTGGAATTCGCCTACATGTTTACAGAAGTGCTAATCGCTAGGAGAAAGCCCGTAAAGTATAGCGGACTAAGCAGAGCTTCGTAAACCAGCCTGTTCAATCTTCACAATGTTAGTTGTGCAACGTGTGGCAACTCGTTGTCGCAGAAAAGAATTTATCCCTTTCTACTGATCAATTGCGTGTGCGAAAGTTGAAGATTTCTGGAAAGCCTCGTTGGTTTGCTGGATTTTCGTTTGCACCGTAATTTTTCCACCCAGATTCAGACAGCTGTAGTGGACCAAATCAGCGACAGACTCCTGAACGATCAGTAAGACCTTCTTTTGATCCAATTTTGGTCACTGAGTCGAGGACTGCCACCTGAACATAAGTGGTTCCGGATGGCAATTCACCAAGAACTGCCCTGTACAAAACAGTACTGCCAGGCCATTCATTCGTGTACTGTTTCACCTAATTCGTGTCATGTTGAAAGAAAAAAAGTTGCATTGGGAAGTCAACTCGAATCATTGCTGCTCTAAAGAACACAAAGGCTCAAAAACACTAGCCACAATAAAAAGAATGTCATGTGCAAGCCTATCAGTAAACCTACATATTAGAAATCGAAATTGTTTTCTAATTAGGCTAATAACATGAACAATTCATATGTTTTACGTCGATTGTGCATTTGTGAAAACTCGTTTGCCACTACGACATAGTTGTAAGCAAGCATTGAACAGTGCTGGTTTCTTGATAAGAGACGATATTTTTCCGATCAGTGGACGAATTGAAGAATCGAAAACTGAGGGTACTTATCTCTATCGCTCTGTGAGTATATATGTTACTTTTTACTGCGTGTTTCTGAGATCCAGTAACCAATCATTTTGCTACCTGCATATGGAATCTTGTCTGGCAACTTATATTGTGTCCATCTGGGTATTATTTTAAATGCTCTCCTATTGTATAGGGTAACCCTGGTTTATCACAGCGGTTTGAATTCAAGCAACAGTCAACTATCATCTTATCCTGACCATTTTATCTGAGGAATGTCAAATTTCAAAAGTAAAGCAAAGCATGCTAGCGAAGAAGCGCTGCCATTAAATAGGTTTTTGTGGAGTTCATTAAATGTAAAGAATATCTTTTCGCTGCCTACGCTGCCTGCTTTAGTAAAGCTATTAGAAGAATACACAAATTGCAGAAAAGGAGTCATGTGCGGGAAATTAGACTGCCGAAAACAGAATGCATTGATATCAGTGCTCACCGTCCGTTAATTGTAAGCTTTAACCACCGTCGAACTATCGAGTATATTAGAAATATTTGTGATAGACTGGGCGATAATGCATAACTCCGCTTTCGTCATATGCTCTTTAATGTTTTTCTTAACAAGAAAGTAAAAATGGTAGCAGTGCGAGATGCATTCAAGAAATAATGCGTAAAAAAGTGTCGGGCGTGATCAATCCTCTGATAGGCAAACAATGCATTCGACTTCATTAAACATCATTTGGGGAAGATTGAATGCATATCTGAACTATTCCACGACTCACGGTGGCCTTATAGAGAACTTCTCTTTTGAAAAGTTCTCTATCTATCTAAATAATAGTATTTGATGTCCATATATGGTCGCCTCGCAGTCGCACATCAAAAACCGCAATGTAACCTTTTGTAATCTTCTCGATCAATTATGTTCAGTGTTTCAGGCACAATAGCGATTCAGGTTTGACTTCAGTAGCATACCGACGATAGCTTATTCGAAGGAGGCGTAACAGTGGAACAGTTTACTACTTCCTTGCGAAACAACGAAGCTAATGGCGTTTCATGTTTCAGGCAGTTAGGTACAGTCTATTGCGGTCCAGGATCTACAATCTAGATTAACCGGTTGCATACGCACGTGGCTCCCGCAGCCGATATAAGCCAGGTGCCTTCGACGGCGGAGGCATGCCATCACTCACCTTACCCCCGATCGGTAGCGCGGATAATCCGCGTCTCACAACATCATCCTCAATCACCTCTCATTTTTAGTCATACTCATTTATTTTTATTCAATCACATTCATTCACACATTCACGTTCATCCTTCAGTAATCAGCAGATTATTGTATCTCGTTTCTCAGCTTGTCTACGGTGCGATGTCAGTAGTGGCGGATGTTTCCAAATGCGTTCTGTTTGCAACGCCATCGGTGGCATGTACCATTCCTCCCCCAATG